TGGAGGAAAAAAAATGGAGTCTAAAAAATATGTTGTTTTGCCTACTTAAGTCATAGAGAATCTATGAAAAGTAATTTAGAAAAAGTTATTAATGTATTATATAATAAAGTTACCTTTATGGAACTGTCCATTAATATGTCAAGAGGGTAAAAAATTGTTACGTACTTAACAATAAACATATTTATTTTAAAAGGAACTGTAATTATAGGCTGTCACCTACATCCAGCACCTTCACCATGAATAACCAGTTTATGAGCACTTCCTTAGAGAGTGACTTGGTAGAGTATGTCACTGTGTACTGCATATACTGCAGTTAGTGTTGCCATTCAAATTAGGTTATGACAGCATTCAATCAGCTGATTTCAGCTAGTTTTGCATAGTCTATTCCCTGAGAAGAACACTTTGGTTAATGTAAAGATAGGTACCATTTATAAACCTTTGAGCAGAAATTGTAAAGAAATACAGCACAGCTTAATTTTAATGGCACCAAAGTACAGTCAAGAGCAGCCCTGATTTCTTCTTTGGTAGAACTTATGCTGTCATGGGTAAGACAGACTGCAGTCACATGATCACAGATATAATTGTAAAATTTCTGATTCCGATGCTGAAACCACTTCATAAAGTTGTATGCAAATATCAGTCATTATTTTGCCCTTGTAAGAACACGCTTCCCAGGTGGTTCAGTTGTAAAGAGTCAGCCTGCTAATGCAGGAGAATTGGGAGACATGGGTTGGGAGACGTAGGTCAGGAGGATCCCCTGGAGTAGAAATGGCAACCCACTCCAGTATTCTTGCCTAAGAATCCCATGGGGAGAGAAGCCTGGAGAGCTACAGTTCCTGGGGTCACAAAGAGTCAGACTGAGCACACACACCACCACCACCAAAATAAGAGCAGAGGATGTAAAATCTCCAGTATTAGAGAGCTCTTAAAATATTTCCTGCAAAGATAACATATTTCCTTTTTAAAGAAAAAATGATTTATGTGCCTGTACAAGATAAGTAAAGAATGCAGAAGTTCAGTCTCATAATGTTTATGCATAAAAACGTTCCTGCTTCCTGTGCAGTTATATTTGGATATATTGATTCAGTGATATGAGTACATGTTCTGTATTCATCTCTTCGAAAGAAGTAAACAGAAAATAAACACAGCAGGTAGACCTGCAGAATGTTACGTGAGAGCTACTGTTCTCTGTAAGAGTGTGTGTGTTTATTTGTACTGTAATCCTGGGGTGGATATCGATGGCATTCGTGTTCAAGAGGACAGAAAAGATGAAAGAGGTTGGCCTTATAGACACTGACCTGCAGTCTTAACCTTTTCTTTTTCTTTATATCCTCTCTTCCCGAGTCGTTTCTCCAAACCTATATTCTCTGAAGCCCAAAAGTTCCGAAAGGTATTGTCTATTAAGCAGTTATGTAGACCCTGCTCCCTGCAGTCAGCTGTTGTCTGCGAACCCTTATGCCTGTACTTTGGAAAGGCTATTAGACACGGAGGAACTGCTTTGGAATAAGAAAATTCAATTTTGTATTTACTGTGCTGCTTTTGTCAAGCCACTGTACCTCGTTGAAAAGCAGTTTCTTCTTCCTCATGGAACAGAGGTATCCCAGCCCCCCACCCTGCCCACTTTGCCTGGGAGGTGAGGGTCCAAATTTAGAGACACATAGGCCAAAGCCGCAGGTCATCTGAAGTTCCTGAGTGTTTCTCATGCATCTGCAAACTTCTCTCAGGAGGTGGTATTTATTAATCTATTTGAAGTAAGTGTTTCAAAGGTAGATTCTGTGTAGCGTTCATGTATCCTCAGTGACTAGCTGTGTCTGGCACATAGTCTCGTTCAGTAAATGCAGGTTGAATAATGCCTGAGAAATTTCTAAGTTCAGTGACTAAAAGCAAATGATTGAATGCCATGTTGTATGTAGTATGAGAATATTCGGACCCCAGAAGTGACCCATGGTTTCCAGGTGGAGTCTTATTTTCCTCCCTGAGAGGTGACAGTGATGACACATGCCTCAGTGTTTCCATGATGATCAGATGAAGTGTGTTCAAAGCTGGTTCAGAGGAGGTGCAGAAGGGAGGGATGCAGTAGGTGGGATCAGGCCTGGGATAATCTCTTCACCACTACCTCAGGGTTTCTGTGACGCTCAAATGAAAAGTGTGTCCCAAAGCTGGTTCAGAGGAGGTGCAGAAGGGAGGGATGGAGTAGGTGGGATCAGGCCTGGGATAATTTCCTCTCCACCACCTGCTTCTGCTGGGAACTTGAAGAGTCCGTGTAACTTCTCTGAGCCTCTTTCCCTGTCTGAACAGTGAGGTTAACAGTGCCTGTCCTACCTCCCTCACAGATCCATTCGCAGTGAGGAAGGAGGAGATAACAAAAGGTAAAGGATGCTACAAATGTAAGAAATTTTGGGCTAGAGGAAAGGACTGTGGACTGGAATTTATGAAACCTAACTTTGATACTTATTAGCTCTGTAACTTAAGCTACTATAAAACACAGTTTCTTCCTATATAAAATGAAAAAGTTCAGTTAGTTTATTTTTAATGCTTTTCCTTTTAATAGTGGTGGATTTCTAGACATTCTGTTAAGGTGCATGCAGGATTAAAATAATTACATAGTAATTACCTATCTATCATTTTAGGCTGTATGACTATTAGGAAAGCCTTGCACTGAAACTTTTGTCCATCTTCTGAATAATGTCTGAATTTACAGACTTCATCCTGCTTCCCTCTAGCTAAAGGACTGGGCCGTACAGAGTCACACTCTGAGCTTTCATCAGCATTCTCACCTCACTGCTTTGCGAGTTCACTTCCCTTCTGTCATCTGTTTCGGTGAGGTGGGAGGGTAGAATAACTGAAAATCAGCTTGGCCGCTTCGCAGTTTCCCCTTGGTTTGTCCCACACGTCACTTGATGAATCCAGCGTATGCGTTCCTAGGAATGAAAATGCTGGCGTGGGATAAGAGTTGCCACACTCTGCAACCATGACAATCATCTCCAGGGTCTTCATTTCATAAAAGGTCACACCCGTAGTACTTGCAGAGGCTGTGGTGTTCTTCCCATCCAGCCCTCTCATTTTTCATATAGGAAACGGGCCCAGAGCTGTAGCTTGCTACAGAAGATGGTGATTTGAACAAGGAAAATCCGAAGTCCTAACACGTTGTACTGCAGCATGATTGGTTACCCTGCAGGGGGTTACCCGCTGAGAAAATAAAGCCCAGCGCTTCCTATAGCTGCCGCGCTCATCATGAGTCTACTCTTGGTTCCTTGCTGCTCTTCAGCTAGCACGAGAGGAGCTGGGTTTATTTCAGGTGCAACGTTTTACAGCGCTTAGGACTAATGACGAAGAAGCAGAGTTGGGGTAATCATATGTTAGCCCTTCAAATCGTTCTTCCTTAGTCTTGGCTGACTAAGAGTACTTCCCCCTCTCGAGACGGTGGAGAGCAGCAGCCCCTGGGAGCCGTGAGGGTGAAAGCAGCCACAGCCACAGAGGCAAAACTGCAAGAGCGACCACGCCCCGAAGCAGGAGCGGGAAATGAGCGAGCAGGGCAGAACCAGACGTGGAAGTGTCAGGATCAGCCCGCAGGAGCAGAGATGTAGCCTTGTAGCCCACAGAGCCTTCACCCTCAAGTGAGACGTGAGAGCATCACGGAGGGGACGTTTCATAAGGAACTCAGGACTCGGTTTCTGGGCCCTTATTCACCAGCATCTAACCCTGGATTCTGACTTCTTTCCTTCTTCATCCTTCCCATATGCCCCTAGTGGTCAGGCAAAAACCAAGGAAATTAAGATTACAAACCAGAGAGAGAGCTGAGGCTTATGAAGTGGTGTGATCTCAAAGGTTCACATTTCTGTCTTTTCATTAGCCATCTTTCTGATAAGAAAACCTTAGACTTATTTGATTACAATAATATGGGAATATTACAGTCCCTTTGTACAATCGTAAATTCAAAATGCCCAGAAAAGATTATTTTAAAATAATTTTGTGGCAGACGGTAGTAAATCTGACCAAAATTGACAGGCTGCTATTTCCAGTCTTTATGTACCTCACTTAGTGACAATATTCACATGTTTGGTGGCAAAGATATTCACGTATTTGATTATAGAGAGCCTCCACAGACCCTGCTGTGGGCAGTCAGCATTTTATGGAAAATGCATCTTACTAAGTTTCTGAAATTGGAAGAACTCTGAATTCCAAAAACATCTGATTCCAAGGGTTTTACAAAAGTGATTTCCAACCTAAAAATTGTTTTCCATAAATTTTGGTGTGTGTTTTTTTTTAATTCCTTAAAGAACGATTGCTTCCTTCGTTTTTCTTCCTTTACAAAGAAAGCAGAGTGGGGGGAAGGGAGAAGCAAAACAAATCTAAATGGTGGCTCTAGAGAGAATCAACCGTAGCTGAAGCTTTGGAGGGTCCAGGCCCTCACTAGGAGTAAATGACTTAGGACAGACATCTAGATCTGTACTTTTACCTGCAATGTAAGAAAGAAATGCCACATCTTGTCGCGGACCTGCACCGTCCTCTTCTCCAGCCCCGCAGCCGCAGCCCGAGCTGTAGCAGACCTATTAAGCTAAAATGCGTGCGACTCACGGAACCAGAGCGCCGCCCTCCTTCCAGATTTGGAATCGACGCTTCCCGCTGGCCGTCTGCCTGCCCTAGCTGATCAGTCCTCAAGACTGCAAGGCAACAATTTCTTTGACAGTGAGATCACAAAGGAAGACTGCAAGGAGGGAAGGAAAATGTGTTTCCTTCGCTTTGGTCCCTGAGCAATTAAATTCATAACCTAATCTGATGTTAGGGAGTGTGGACCATAAACCCTGTGTTTAATTAGCTCGCACCTAGAGAGTCATTTTACACACTAGACATTTTAATTTACAACCTGCTGCACTGTGGCACTTTTCTAGCCCTTCAGCTATGTAATAAGGTATTCTGCCAGCTGCTGAGGCTTTAAAAATGTAGAAAAATATAGATACGCTTAGTTCAGATTTTTTTCCTTTCTTTTCCATTTTCAGTTGCAAATCAAACATGCAGTTACAGAAGCAGAGATTCAAAAATTGAAGACCAAGGTAAGCACCAATACATGGTGTTTGAATTGTACTTTCTAAACTTCAGATGCTATGAATAAATTCAACCCAAGCACTAAATGCTTTGTTTCTGCACATTTAAAAGCACACACATGTGAGAGATTCATTCCCACTGTTAGTGGAAAACCTAACAGTGCCCACGCTTACGGGGTCAGCACCCTCCTTGAAAACGGCGCAGTATTTCAGAACTACAGAGTTACAGATTTGCACCTATGTGGCCCGTTCCCTCTCAACTTTCTCAAGAAGTAAATGTTTATAGTAGTTCAGGCATTCAAACTACATTTTGACCACTAATCCTTAAACACAAGCTGTTATACTGTATCTTTCTCTTTTATCTTATTTCAAATAAATTTAATCATCTTATTTATTTTTAGCTTCCTAGAAATAATCTGTTTTTATTAACATAGCACATTAGGTTTCATAAAGAAAAATTCAGATTTCTAGTAATTAAACATTATGAAATTTAATTAATATATGAGTAATTTATTTTAGGGGCCAGATGCTACCAGAAATCTTTAGACAAGTTTAGTTCACGTCATTTAAATTTGTGGGAAAAAAACAGGTCTGATAAAAGGAGTATGTATTTTTAGTTTATATATGAAATAATACAAAATTCAAATGGGCATTTTTAAATGGTAAATTATAAGGTAAGTTTCAGTTTCTTGAACTGTGTCTAGTTTTATCAAATATGTAGTCTCAAAAGATTTTAAACTATCTTTTGAATTACTTTAAAAACACAGTTATGTTTATTTTTTTATGGCCTTCTAATAATTGAGACATAATTCCTGCCACACCACTAATAGTCTGTTTCCCTGTTCACATTATATACAGTTGTTTTGTTTTTTCCATGTGTTTTAAATAGAGATAAATTAGCAAGGCTATTTTGGGTAAATGGTATTTTCAGCTAATAACTCTGTAGCTCTTTAGTCAAAACATGTCTATACATCATTCATGGTTTCAGCCAAGCTCTGTGAATAATAATTTTTAAATTAGTAGAGACTGGTAAATAAACAACTTGAACACAAAACACTGCTTAATAAAAGGTGCAGGTAAAAACCCAGTCCTGTTGTAAATTGCTATTGTTTCTTGGCATAGAATGGAAGAATAGAAGATTTTTAATTGTTGGTTACTGTCGGGGAAAAAGATTGCCCTCTGATTGCAAGTGCTTGAACAAGGCTTATATGTTAGATATTTAATTTAGAAAAATCTATAAATGAGTATTTTATATTTTTCTCAAAATGATATTGGCTGTGCCAACTTTCTATTACCTATGCTAATATCCACAGATTAACTTGCTTTACTGTTACTCTTTAAATCCATGTTGATAATAATTTTGAAATGTTTTTGATTACTTTCTTACTTTGCAGTCTGTTTTGCCAATGTATTTAGTTTAAAGTACATATAAAAACATATGTATATTTCCATTTGCTGAATACTGTGTGATTTTGGAATGTTTTAGATTTTGAAAATTGGTATTGATAGCTTATAATGATTCTGCATCCTTTTAAACTTTAATGGAGGCATGTGAAATGGGATGCAGCTCTAGTGTAAAGGTTAGATGGCTACTGTGAATAAATGACCTCTGATCCCTTATCTAAGAGATCAGTCTTGAATTTCCGTAGAAATGAGGGATTTGGACCAGGGTCTTATCTGTTCCTTAACTTTCCTGAAAGCAGAAATCAGAGGAAGCTGCCTTTCTTTTCCATTGGAGAGATTTAAATTAATTCAGGAATAATTTATATTTTTACTTACACTGTCATTTGTACTTTTATGGAATTTTATGTCATTTATACATTTATAATTTTATTGAAACTCAGAACAATGGCAGCAAAATAATGAGCTACAGACTCTTTTCATGAGTCAGTTGAAATAAAATATGTGATAATATTGTCAAAAGGGATTAAGACAAAGTAAAAATAACTTTTATCAGATTATTATCCCCAAGCAGCTTTTCCAAGCATGCTGATGTGTTATACCACAGTTCTCTTTTAAATATAACAATTTAGTCTTAGAAGACTTCAGTTACTTGTCAAAGGTTTAAAGGCTAGTGTTGGCAGAGCTGGTATTCAAATCTAAACTGTAGACTCTGGGGTCCACCTCTTAATCATTGGCCATACTGTGCTCTGACCCTCTCCTTCCCAGCTTGCCTCTCCCCACTCCTTTTTTAGTTAACGTTTTGCATATAATTATGTTTTAAAAACAACTCTAAAAGAAAGCATGTTGAAGTTCATTGGATAGAATCAGTCAAATTCTAAAACATTTTTTACTACTCGGAGAATTTCATACACTGTATGGTATGCTGGAAAGATCCTGGGAGTTGGAAAGAGATCATGTTTTATCATTTATCAGATGTGTGACCTTGGACAACCATTTCACTTTTCACACTTCCATTTTATAATCTCTATAACAATGAAAATCATACTTGCTCTTCTCATTTCGATGTGTTTCATGACTGAGTATATGTAATAATGGAATTTATTCTAAAATATGCTATAAAAGTATGAGAGATTTTTGCTGCAAAAGTATCCAGAAATATCCTTGCTCTGACATTTGCTTTGTCCAGCTGCAAGCTGCAGAAAATGAGAAAGTGAGGTGGGAACTAGAAAAAACCCAACTTCAACAGAATATAGAAGAGAATAAAGAAAGAATGATGAAGTTGGAGAGCTACTGGATTGAGGCTCAAACGTTATGCCACACAGTGAACGAACACCTCAAAGAGACTCAAAGCCAGTATCAGGCCTTGGAAAAGAAGTACAACAAGGCGAAGAAACTGATCAAGGATTTTCAACAAAAGTAAGCAGCTCCTAATGGGTAACGATTTTTGTGTGCATCTAAAGGAGGCTTATATCCAGGAATTTTGTAGTATCTAGTGGAAAAGAAAAGATGACCTCAGAGTCATCCCTTTAAGGAGCATACTTAAAATAATAAATAGACATTAAGTTTTAGAAATCTCTCGCATCAGTGTTTCATGTGCGATTATATTTTCTTTCTTCTATAATTTTTTTTGCCATCTGTTGTTTTGTTCTTGTGTTTTGCTGCTAGTTAATCATTTATTGTAACTGTTAAAGCATTTGAACCTCTGTCCTTTTGAAACATATGTAATTTAGAAGCAAGAAGCCAAGTTGAAGTCATGCAGAATGGACTGTTGGATATAGTGTGTACAAAGCAGCAGCTGGGGCCTTGATGAGGCTGCTTGTTTCTGTTCTTAGAATCAGTTAACTTCAGAATTTTCCCACTACACATAGTGAAAATATTGACTGACAAGACCGCTTGCCCTCCTACTCTCCTTTCTTTGTGAGAGAATCACAAGGGCCTTGGTTCACTGCAGTGAGAAACCATCACCACACTTGGCTTTTAAATTTCAACACCTATTTTCAAGCTAATGCTGCTTTGCTTCCATCTGTTGGATCTTGGTGTAATTTCAGGGAGACCAGGAAGATTTTTACCATATTTTTTCATCAGTTACTTAGAAAGTAACTCCAGTATCCCTTCTGGTCTTGCATGTCAAGCCTTAAAAGCTAAGTATATATGTAAGATTCATGGTATCTGTTACTTCCTATCATGGAAATAATGGTTTTAATGTTTAAAAGGTATTGCTATAAAAAGTATATTAAAAAGGAAGCAGCTGTTCTTACGACTGTGAATTCAATACATCTCTATTTTAATCCTTATTAAAAGTATTCCTCTTACTTCATGTAATAATTTTATACTAAATTCTACCAAATTTGCATATTGCATTCCAAACTCTCAAATGGAGATATTTCTCCTTGTCCTCATGGTATCCTCAGATGGGTAGTGACAGCTTCCCCTCCATGTTCTGACCCATTCAGCCCCCTCTATGGTCATTTCTAGGAAGCAGTCTTATAATAATTATATTTTTAAAACTCTTAGCATCCATTCCATCAGTTTACTAGGTAAATGACTTTATAAATGTGGAATTATTTCTACTGAACATGTAATTATCTCCACTAAATTACCAAGGTGGGTCATTAGTTCAGTAGCTTCTATCTAAATATGAACAGGTGCTCCAGAATCAGGAGCTACAAATGAAAATCTCAGTAAGCAGAATCAAAGCATTTTTATTTACTTTGTATGTCTTTAAAACATTTTATTTGCTTTCATTACTAGATACCTTTTCTCTGTGACTGAGTTTTATTTATTTAAATAGCTGTCTAGTTACTTATTTCACTATGTGGCTCATTGCCTCAGATAAGAATTTTTATATTTCCTCATTTATTGAGTATTTGATGCACTGAGATCTATTATTTTCTCCTTAAGAGAACTTGATTTCATCAAAAGACAGGAAGCAGAAAGAAAGAAAATAGAAGATTTGGAAAAAGCTCATCTCGTGGAAGTTCAAGGCTTGCAAGTACGGGTGAGTCATGTGCACAAAGCCACTGGATGATAGAATGGTCAGACAAAACTTAACTCGAAAAGATACATGCCACCCCTGTGTTCATGTCAGAACTATTCACTACAGACAGCTAAGACGTGGAGACAACCTAATGTCTGTTGACAGATGAATGGATAAAGAAGATATAGTGCATTTATACAATGGAATAGTACCCGACCATTAAAAAGAATGAAATAATGCCATTCACAGCAACATGGATGGACCTAGAGATTCTCATACTAAGCAAAATAAGTCAGAAAGACAAAGACAAAAACCATATGATATCACTTATATGTGGAATCTAGCCCACCTGATTCCTCTCTCCATGGGATTTTCTAGGCAAGAATACTGGAGTGGGTTGCCATTTCCTTCTCCAGGGGGTTTTCCTGACCCAGGGATCAAACCTGAGTCTCCTGCATTGCAGGTGGATTCTTTGCCAACTGTGCCAACTGAGCCACCAGGAAACCCCATGATAAATCATAGTGGATAAGAATATATATATATATATATATATATATATATATACACACACACATGTCTGCATGTATATATACATATATATATGTATGTAAAACTGAGTCACTTTTCTCTACAGCAAAATTTAACACGATATTGTAAATCAACTATATTTTAATAAAATTTAAAAAAAAGAGTAATAGGCTAGTTTTGCCTAGGTTTGGAGAAGAGTGCTGCTTTATGGTTTCATGAGTGTATTTTTTTTTTTCTCTCTTAGATTAGAGATTTGGAAGCTGAGGTGTTCAGGCTACTGAAGCAAAATGGGACTCAAGTTAACAACAACAACAATATCTTTGAGAGAAGGACATCTCTTGGTGAGGTCTCTAAAGGAGATACCTTGGAGAACTTGGATATCAAGCAGACATCTTGTCAAGATGGCCTAAGTCAAGGTTTGTTCAACCTAACCATAAAAATTGTTTTTTAATGACTATAAAATTTGACCTTACATTCTTCTTTGTTTTACTCAGAGATTTAAAAAGTGAAAAAGCTTTCCTGCTTTGGGAAAGAAGAAAGGGCTTATCAAAATAGTAACCTATCATTTTGCTCTTGTTTTATCAAAAATAAATCTCTGAAGTAAAGAAACAACAAAATTTCAAGCTTGAAAAGCCAGATACTAATTTTAAACCACATAAACTTGGTAGGCTTAATGAACTGCCTCAAGCTGATGGTTTATCCCATCTAGGGTGAGTTACACTACTTAGGGATTAATGAGGAAGGCTGAAAATGAGTGATTTTTTAAGTTCCTAGAATGAAGATCTTTTTCATAACATTAGAAAGCTGACTACCCACTTCCATCATTTAGAATTCATTGAGTTAAGAAGTTCTGTATAGTTTTCTGCTTTTACCTTGAGGAGTTGTGTATATGTCTCATTGTCTCATTCTTTCCTGTCAAAGACCAAATCAGCCCAAAACTCTGGAAATATTTTCTATTGATAATGGAAATGTTAATAAAGGAAATGGTCTTCGTTCATATACCAACCATAAATGAATCATTTATTTTCTTCCCCCAATGCACCTGTACATGGATTGTGTGTATAAGAATGTGAATGCTTTAATATGTGTAGTATATTTATAAATTTTAAAAATGTGTTAAGAATTTATGGGCATACACACCGAGGAAACCAGATCTGAAAGAGACACATGTACCCCAATGTTCATCGCAGCACTGTTTATAATAGCCAGGACATGGAAGCAACCTAGATGCCCATCAGCAGATGAATGGATGAGGAAGCTGTGGTACATATACACCATGGAATATTACTCAGCCATTAAAAAGAATTCATTTGAATCAGTTCTAATGAGATGGATGAAACTGGAGCCCATTATACAGAGCGAAGTAAGCCAGAAAGATAAAGACCATTACAGTATACTAACACATATATATGGAATTTAGAAAGATGGTAACGATAACCCTATGTGCAAAACAGAAAAAGAGACTCCTATGTATAGAACAGACTTGTGGACTCTGGGAGAAGGCGAGGGTGGGATGTTTCAAGAGAACAGCATTGAAACACGTATATTATCTAGGGTGAAACAGTTCACCAGCCCAGGTTGGGTGCATGAGACAAGTGCTCGGGCCTGGTGCAGTGGGAAGACCCAGAGGGATTGGGTGGAGAGGGAGGTGGGAGGGGGGACCGGGATGGGGAATACATGTTAAAAAAAAAAAAAAAAATGAACTATTTTCAACAATGGAAAAAAAAATAAATAAATAAACATATTGTAAACAGTTAAAAAAAAAAGAATTTATGAAGATAAATACATAGGAAGACATAAAATTTTCAATTTCATCTCTTAAAATTTCTACCTAGTGGATGTTAGAAAAAGTGAAAATAAAAGAATGTCATGCAGTAGCATTATCATGAAGGGACTGACAACTCACAAGCAGTGGTTTGACATGCAGTAAAACTGAGATCACTAATGAGCTGTGTAATTCTTTGATGCTCTTTCACACATATTAAAATGTCTCCAATGAGATTTTCTTGATAAGCAAGTGTTTATATCATATCATTAACTTTCAGAACTAAACTCTTAGCTGTTAAAAATGAAAAGTATTGGAAATTTTCATTTATAATTGAAGTAATATTTAGAGATTTGAGTCTCTTCACTAAGTTTATATACTTTTGCTGTGTTTTCCCTTACTATGACATAATCTATAAATAATGGCCCCCAGTGGTTAAAGAAAAGTATTTCGCACCAACATTACCACTAACTGAAGAAGTGTATGACTTCAGGAAGGTCATTCAACTTCTCTAGGCTGGTTTTTTACTATGCATAATATAAAAATAGCAGCACTTCTTTCTTCTCCCCCCTAAACAGTGTTTGAGATGAAAAAAAGAAATTTTATTAGAGCCTTATAGAGTTCCAATTTTTATATGTGGAACTCTGTAAGATGATTTTCTTAAAAAAATGGAAATCAAATCAGTGTGTTTTTTCCCACTTTTTTGAATATTTTAATTCTTCAGATTCACTGTAGTTTTTATAATAAATATATATTCCTGCTGTGCCATACACAAAATATTATCAGTAACCAGTGACTTTGCAAAGTCTGATTCATTTCTTTTAGTTCAGAAATAAGTATCTTGTCAGACATATAATTAACAGTATTTATTAAATTATATGACTACAGAAGATCAACATACTTTATTGTTAATATGTTGATTTGGATCAAAAGCTTACATTTCTTCAGAACCCTTTTTCTTCTATTCTGCACCCTCCATTTTGCCACATAATTATCAGTTTCCCTAGCAACACTGTCGGTTCACGGTGAAATGCAGAGACTACTAATTCTTCCTGAAACCAATTCATGCTTGTGCGGTAGAGGTGGAATCAGTCATCTCTGACATTAGTAGCATACATATCAAACGGTCCTCTTCCAGTTTTGCTGCCGAGGACAGTCAGTGATAAATCTCCTTGAATTTCAATTGCTTGATCACATAAACTAAAATGGCTTGGTCAGTAGCTAGATAGGAATGCTCTGGAAAGCACTCTTCTAAATTGATCCTTTGCTTCTGTTGCTAGGGAACGCTGAAGTCGTTGAGGCTTAGAAAAGGAAGTAAAGCAGCGGACCAAACACAGGTCATTTGGCATTTAATTACCACCCCCACCCCCAAGCACACACCTTTTTGCATCAGGATAGATTCAACAGTGGAGGTCGGTTCTGCTAGTTTTCACCCTTGAGGTACAGGGCTTTGTCTCCTTACCTCCTGTAGACTGTCCAACTCTGATTTATTTTCCAAGCACTGGAGTCTTATTGATAGAATGAGTGGTTTAGCATCTTTTTGGGTCTGAGTCAGCTCAGTGAAGCAAAAGGATTATCAATTACAGGTCAGTGAAGAACTGTGTTGGGATGAAATAGTGAAAGAAAAGGAAAGAGAGGGTGAAGGAGGCAGAAAGGTAAGAGAAGGAAAGAAAGAGCGTGTAAGCAGTCACTTCTTCTCAAGAACTCATCCCCTTTTAGGAACAAACTTCCCAGCTGTGGATGGATTAATTGCATGACTCTCTTATTAAATTATTGTACATATTTAGAGTGATAAAACCGTTTTTCAAATCATGCAAAAATTTACCACAGTTAAATTTCTATTCAAACATCATACATATGGCTTTTTCTATAAGCCCACTGAAATATCTCATTAAAATGTGGGCATATTGGGAATTTCCTGGCAGTCCAGTGGTTAGGACTCTGCATGCTCACTGCCGAGGGTCCCAGGTTCAATCCCTGGTCTGGGAACTAAGCTTCCCACAAGCTGCATCATGCAGCAAAAAAAAAAAAAAAAAAGTTGGCAGATTATATATACAAATATATTATTTAGTACAGTTTGGTACTTTTTTCTTAAAGTACATAAAGCAACAGTTTTCTGTTTTTGTTTTTTTCACCCAGAGACACAACAGACTCTAAATCACTTCTAGTTTACACCAGTATGCCTGTCAGATATTAGTTTACATGTGTTTCAGAATGTAAAAAATGACGGTTTTGTCCTACTGCCGTGTTTCATGTTTGTAATTTCTTAGTGTCTGAATAATGCTGGTCTATATAAGGGTTCTCTAGTTTGTATCCAAAGGCCCTGAAGTGACAAGAAATGTCTGTGGCCACCCAGATGTTCAAGTCAGGATTAGAAAAAGAGCAGAGAACAGGCTTGCTTGTTAGAGAGACCCTGGTAGAAGAAAGAGGTGTAGTTGTAGTTTGATTAAATCCCCTGAAAAAACTCACTTAAATAACACGCTCTTACTGAGCCTCCAGGTATTCCAGATGAGGCAGGTGAAGGTTTTGGTTGGTTTAGTTGCTAAGTCGTGTCCGACTCGTATAACCCCGTGACTTCTCTGTCCATGAACTTCTCCAAGCAAGAATGCAGAAGTGGGTTGCCATTTCTTTCTCCTCAGGGATCAAACCCAGGTCTCCTGTATTGCAGGCGGATTCTTTAATTACTGAGCCACCAGGGAAGGGTTTGGTATGAAATGAACAGGTAATATGAACATTTTAAGAGATGGAGAGGGAGGTTGAAAATGGGAAAACAGTGAATAAAGTTAGAATAATTTTTTCCTGATTCAGAAACCTTATGTTAAAGGTGGGACCTTATATTCAAGGTGTGTCGTAGGGTATTTTTGGAGTAAAAGTAGTCTTTGGATGCATGAAGAACGGCTTATACTTAATTCTGTAAGCATACAGTTTTGTTTTTTCTTAGAAATTAAAAACTCTATTAATGGAAAAATATAACATTTGCAAAGTCAACAATAATGATGACAAGCAATGCTTTCTAACACAATATTGTAAATCAACTATACTTCACTTAAAAAAAAATTCCTGGGAAACGACGCAGTATTTCTACAGGGCAGGCAGTGTTTTAAGTTACTCATGGTAAATCACTTAATTCTCACAACAACCCTAAGAATAGTATTGCTGTTGTCCCGTTTTACAGATCAGAAACTGTAGATGAAGAAATGAAGCTGTCTGCCCCGGCTCTGGTGGTTCAGACGGTAAAGAATCTGCCCTCAATACGAGAGACCTTATTCAGTCCCTGGGTCGGGAAGATCCCCTGGAGGAGGGCATGGCAACCCACTCCAGTATCCTTGCCTGGAGAATCCCCGTGGACAGAGGAGCCTGGTGGGCTGCAGTCCATGGGGTCACAGAGAATCGGACACGACTGAGCGATGAAGGATACAGCATGCATTCTCAGTGAACAGAAGAGCTGTTCTCATCCAGCTCTACACCCCATTTTCTTAACTACTCAGCTGAACTGTACTGCTCTTTTGGAATCTGCTGCTTCTCTTAGACAACTGATGGGAACTCTGCCTTCAGAAAAGGCTGAAATCATAAGAAGTCCGAAAATCCAAAGCAATACCATTAATAGCATTGAGGCATAATAGGAACTGGGTCACTAGTAGGCTTGTAAGT